ATGTGGTGGTGGTGGTGGTACTGGTATTGATGGTGGTGTGGGGTGTTGCTACTGGTATTGATGGTGGTGGTGGTGTTGGTACTGGTATTGATGATGGTGGTGGTGGTGGTGGTGGTACTGGTATTGATGGTGGTGGTGGTGTTGGTACTGGTATTGATGGTGGTGGTGGTACTGGTATTGATGGTGGTGGTGGTGGTGGTACTGGTATTGATGGTGGTGGTGGTGGTGGTACTGGTATTGATGGTGGTGGTGGTGTTGGTACTGGTATTGATGATGGTGGTGGTGGTGGTGGTACTGGTATTGATGGTGGTGGTGGTGGTGGTACTGGTATTGATGGTGGTGGTGGTGGTGGTACTGGTATTGATGGTGGTGGTGGTGTTGGTACTGGTATTGATGATGGTGGTGGTGGTGGTGGTACTGGTATTGATGGTGGTGGTGGTGGTGGTGGTACTGGTATTGATGGTGGTGGTGGTACTGGTATTGATGGTTGTGGTGGAGCTGATATTGGTGGTTGTGGTTGTGATGGTGGTGATAGTGGTGGTGGTGGTGGTGATAGTGGTGGTTGTGGTTGTGGTGGTGATAGTGGTGGTGGTGGTGATAGTGGTGGTTGTGATGGTGACAGTGGTGGTTGTGATAGTGGTGGTTGTGATGGCGGTGGTTGTGATAATGGTGGTTGTGATAGTGGTGGTTGTGATGGTGGTGATAGTGGTGATAGTGATGGTGGTGATAGTGATAGTGGTGGTTGTGATGGTTGTGATAGTGGTGGTTGTGATAGTGGTGGTGGTGATAGTGGTGGTAGTGATGGTGGTGGTTGTGATGGTGGTGGTTGTGATAGTGGTGGTGGTGATAGTGGTGGTGGTGATAGTGGTGGTGGTGATAGTGGTAGCGTAACAAGGCTCAGCACCACATGGCGCCGCTCAGAGAGCACCACCTCCTCCCTCCCCTTGGTCGCAGCCATTTGCCTTCGGAGCAAGAGGCTGCCAAGCTCCACCACGCGCTGCGGGAGTATAGACCTTGTACCACGCTTCAGTAAGGCTCGTACTCCTCTCCTGCGGCGCCTCCTGTTGACACCTTCCTAGACTCCCGCATTCATTAATCAACATGACAAGCACAGCCGTTCACCCACCTCTAGTTCCCTCCCTCTGTACCTTGCCCTACACTGTTGCTGTACCTTCCCCTACACTGTTGCTGTACCTTCCCCTACACTGTTGCTGTACCTTCCCCTACACTGCTGCTGTACCTTGCCCTACACTGTTGCTGTACCTTCCCCTACACTGTTGCTGTACCTTCCCCTACACTGTTGCTGTACCTTCCCCTACACTGTTGCTGTACCTTCCCCTACACTGCTGCTGTACCTTCCCCTACACTGCTGCTGTACCTTTCCCTACACTGTTGCTGTACCTTCCCCTACACTGTTGCTGTACCTTCCCCTACACTGTTGCTGTACCTTCCCCTACACTGTTGCTGTACCTTCCCCTACACTGTTGCTGTACCTTCCCCTACACTGTTGCTGTACCTTCCCCTACACTGTTGCTGTACCTTCCCCTACACTGTTGCTGTACCTTCCCCTACACTGTTGCTGTACCTTCCCCTACACTGTTGCTGTACCTTCCCCTACACTGTTGCTGTACCTTCCCCTACACTGTTGCTGTACCTTCCCCTACACTGCTGCTGTACCTTCCCCTACACTGCTGCTGTACCTTCCCCTACACTGCTGCTGTACCTTCCCCTACACTGTTGCTGTACCTTCCCCTACACTGTTGCTGTACCTTCCCCTACACTGCTGCTGTACCTTCCCCTACACTGTTGCTGTACCTTCCCCTACACTGCTGCTGTACCTTCCCCTACACTGCTGCTGTACCTTCCCCTACACTGTTGCAGTACCTTGCCCTACACTGTTGCTGTACCTTGCCCTACACTGTTGCTGTACCTTCCCCTACACTGTTGCTGTACCTTGCCCTACACTATTGCTGTACCTTGCCCTACACTGCTGCTGTACCTTGCCCTACACTGCTGCTGTACCTTGCCCTACACTGTTGCTGTACCTTCCCCTACACTGTTGCTGTACCTTCCCCTACACTGTTGCTGTACCTTCCCCTACACTGTTGCTGTACCTTGCCCTACACTGCTGCTGTACCTTGCCCTACACTGTTGTACCTTGCCCTACACTGTTGTACCTTGCCCTACACTGTTGCTGTACCTTCCCCTACACTGTTGCTGTACCTTGCCCTACACTGCTGCTGTACCTTGCCCTACACTGCTGCTGTACCTTGCCCTACACTGCTGCTGTACCTTGCCCTACACTGCTGCTGTACCTTGCCCTACACTGCTGCTGTACCTTGCCCTACACTGCTGCTGTACCTTGCCCTACACTGCTGCTGTACCTTGCCCTACACTGCTGCTGTACCTTGCCCTACACTGCTGCTGTACCTTGCCCTACACTGCTGCTGTACCTTCCCCTACACTGTTGCTGTACCTTCCCCTACACTGCTGCTGTACCTTCCCCTACACTGCTGCTGTACCTTCCCCTACACTGCTGCTGTACCTTCCCCTACACTGCTGCTGTACCTTGCCCTACACTGTTGCTGTACCTTGCCCTACACTGTTGCTGTACCTTGCCCTACACTGCTGCTGTACCTTGCCCTACACTGTTGCTGTACCTTGCCCTACACTGTTGCTGTACCTTGCCCTACACTGTTGCTGTACCTTGCCCTACACTGTTGCTGTACCTTGCCCTACACTGTTGCTGTACCTTCCCCTACACTGTTGCTGTACCTTGCCCTTCATGGCCGGCGTGAGTGAGGGCCGCAGTAACGTGACTGACCGTGACAGGTCCACCCCGTGTCCCATCCCACATGACAACCTGAAGATCAAACTGTTGACGGAGACACTAGCACACACACACAGTCACTCGCCGGTAAACACTCACACCGACAATAAGTGTATAAAACAAAAACCAACATTGAGGCAGAGATCTTCTTCCCCCTCCCCCGGCCCTTCTTCTTCTCTCTCCCCTCCACCTACCTCTCCTCTCCCCCTACCTCTCCCCCTACCTCTCCCCCCTACCTCTCCCCCTACCTCTCTCCCCTACCCTCTCCCCCTACCTCTCCCTCTCCCCCTCCCCCTACCCTCTCCCCCTCCCCCTACCTCTCCCCCTCTCCCCTACCTCTCCCCCCCCCTCCCCCTCCTCTCCCCCTCCCCCTACCTCTCCCCCTCCCCCTACCTCTCCCCCTACCTCTCCTCCCCCTACCTCTCCCCCCCCACCTCTCCCCCTCCCCCTACCCTCTCCCCCCTACCTCTCCCCCTCCCCCTACCTCTCCCCCTACCTCTCCCCCTCCCCCCTCCCCCCTACCTCTCCCCCTACCTCTCCCTCCCCCTACTTTCCCCCCTCCCCCTACCTCTCCCCCGCCCCCTATACCCTCCCCCTCCCCCCCTACCTTCTCCCCCTCCCCCCTACCTCTCCCCCCTCCTACCTCTCCTCTCTCCCCCTCCCCCCTACCCTCTCTCCCCCTCCCCCCTACCTCTCTACCCCTCCCCCTCCTCTCTCCCCCCACCTCCCCCCCTACCTCCTCCCCCTCCCCCTACCTCTCCCCCTCTCCCCCTACCTCTCCCCCCTCCCCCTACCTCTCCCCCTCCCCCTACCTCTCCCCCTACCTCTCCCCTCTCCCCTACCTCTCCCCCTACCTCTCCCCCTCCCCCTACCCTCTCCCCCTCCCCCCCTACCATCTCCCCCTCCCCCTACCTCTCCCCCCGCCCCCCTACCCTCTCCCCTCCCCCCTACCTCTCCCCCTCCCTCTCCCCCCCTCCCCCTACCTCCTCCCCCCCTACCTCTCCCCCTCCCCCCTATACCTCTCCCCCCTATCCTCTCCCCCTCCTCCCCTACCCCCCCCCCCTCTCCCCCTACCTCTACCCTCTTCCCCCCCCTCCCCCGCCCCTCTCCCCCTCTCCCCCTCTCCCCCACTCTCCCCCTCCCCCAACCCTCCCCCCTAACCTCTCCCCCCCCCCCCCCTAACTCCTCCCCCCCCCACCCCCTACCTCCCCCCCTCCTCTCCCCCTCCCCTCTCCCCCTCCCCCTACCTCTCCCCCTACCTCTCCCCCTTCCCCTACTCTCCCCCCTCCCCCTACCTCTCCCCCTCCCCCCTACCTCTCTCCCCCCTCCCCCTCCTCTTCTCCCTCCCCCTACCTCTCCCCCTACCTCTCCCCCTTCCCCTACCTCTACCCTCCCCCTACCCCTCCCTCCCTCCCCTACCTCTCCCCCTCCCCCTAACCTCTCCCCCCTACCTCTCCCCCGACCTCTCTCCCCCCTACCTCTCCCCCTCCCCCTACCTCTCCCCCTCCCCCTACCTCTCCCCCTCCCCCTGACCTCTCCCCCTCCCCCTACCTCTCCCCCTCCCCCTACCTCTACCTCTCCCCCTACCTCTCCCCCCCTCCCCCCTACCTCTCCCCCCTAACCTCTACCCCCTTCCCCTACCTCTCCCCCCCCCTCCCCCTTCCCCCCTCCCCCTACCTCTCCCCCTCCCCCCTACCTCTCCCCTCTCCCACCCTCCCCCCCTCCCCCTACCTCTCCCCCTTCCCCACCTCTCCACTCCCTCTCCCCCTCCCCCTACCTCTCCCCCTCCCCCCCCACCCTCCTCCCCCTCACCCTTATTCACCCCCGACCTCTCCCACCTCTCCCCCTACCTCGTCCCCCCCTTCCCTACTCTATGCTCCCCCTCTCCCCTTGGACCTCTCTCTCCGCTCCCCCTAACCTCTTTCCCCCTTCCCCTACCTCTCCCCCCCCCCCCCTACCTCCTTCCCCCTCCCCCTACCTCTCCCCCCCCCCTACCTCTCCCCCTCACCACCCCCCTACCCCCATCCACTGATCTCCCCGCTGCAGCAACAAAATATCGGGAAAGATAAAAGACGGGAAGAGAGAGAGTGTGAGAGGCAGAGAGAGAGTGTAGAGGCAGAGAGAGAGAGAGAATGTAGAGGCAGAGAGAGAGAGAATGTAGAGGCAGAGAGAGAGAGAATGTAGAGGCAGAGAGAGAGAGAATGTAGAGGCAGAGAGAGAGAGGGGTACAGACAGACATCAGACACAGGCTACAACCCACCATAACCACAAGCACAACACTGAGGGTCGTTGCCACTTCACTTGATCACACTCGTGTTATAACATTACTTCACGCATAAAGAAATGACCTGCGCAGGACCACATTTATATTCAAATTATTCTCTTGATTCTTTTCAGGCAGACCCGATCGGGGACCGGGCAGCTGGGACGTTGAGCCCCGACTATAGGAGGTCACGTTGTATAGGAGCTCAACTCTTGTGAGCTGCTGCCGGAGGGTTCCCAACGGGTAGTGCCGGAACACCACCCCAGTCCCACCACAACCAGGTACTCAACATCCATCCTGCAGTAAATAAGCTGCAATCTATATATATATATATTATATATATATATATAATATATATATATATATATATATATATATATATATAATATTATAAAATATTATTTATAATAATAATAATAATAACATGTGGCAGGATTTGATGGAAAAACTGTGGCCCTAAAACGCATCCCCAAACGCCTCATAAGGCAGTTCAAACGCCTGGAGCAGCCTGGAGCAGCCTGGAGCAGCCTGGAGCAGCCTAGAGACCCTTCACCGACCCACTTAACTTATCCATGAGGATACACCTTATCCCGGGCAAGTGAACAGTTACAACACTACTCCCTAGAACAGTTGTGTGTGTGGGACCTGGTGGGTGATGGTGGGTGTGAGGGTGGGTGATGGTGGGTGAGGGTGGGAGCCTCAGCCAGCCGCCCCGCGCCAGCCGCCATGAGCAGCTGGTATTACCCTGGAGACCTTAACTCTCTCGTAGAGACCAAGCTCACTCCCCTGCTCCTGGTGGGGTCTGGTGGGGTGGTGCTCCTGGTGGGGTCTGGTGGGGTGGTGCTCCTGGTGGGGTCTGGTGGGGTGGGTGCTCTAGTGGGATCTGGTGGGGTGGTGCTCCTGTGTGGGGTCTAGGGGGGTACTCGTGGTAGGGTCTGGTGGGGTGGTGCTCCTGGTGGGGTCTGGTGGGGTGGTGCTCCTGGTGGGGTCTGGTGGGGTGGTGCTCCTAGTGGGATCTGGTGGGGTGGTGCTCCTGGTGGGGTCTAGGGGGGTACTCGTGGTAGGGTCTGGTGGGGGTGGTGCTCATGGGGGGTCTAGGGGGGGTATTCGTGGTTGGGTCTAGGGGGGATATTCGTGGTGGGGTCTAGGGGGGGTATTCGTGGTGGGGTCTAGGTGGGGGTGTTTGGCGAGTACGAAGTGGACAGGTTCCATCCCCCTCACGGCCCCTACTGATGCACGTCAATGTGATATCATTGTGCGTGTGATGAGAAGCGTCAGAAGAGAACTACTGTACCATGAGGCAGAGAGCGGGCAGAGTACCACAAGAGAGATTATAGTAAAAAGCAGATAAAGATAAGTCACGATTGTTGGTACTGGGCGACTTCAACTTTAAAGCAATAGACTGGGAGGCCTACGAGGCAAGAACGAGAGACTTCTGACATAGATGAAAAACTTTCTAACTGAGAGACAGATGAGGGCAGTAACCAGAGACAATGTATCAGAGTGGAGGAGTGTTACTAGCGGAGTACCACAAGGTTCAGTTCTTGCACCAGTAATGTTCATCGTCTACATGAACGATCTACCAGAAGGAATACAGAACTATATGAACATGTTTGCGGATGATGCTAAGATACTGGGGAAGATAGGAGACACAGACGATTGTAATGTCCTTCAAATTGATCTAGATAAAATAAGTGCTTTTTGGATTGTTGCCGCCGAAGGCGGCTAGTTTATTGTGCACCCCATACTCATCCTGTGAGCGGTAGCGCAAAAGCATTACAGAGGGCACAAAAGGTCTTTATCAGACCTCATCTTAGATTATTACATAAACAATTTCTTCAATCCTTCATTCCCGGTTTGGTGCCTTCTTTTGATAATTACTTACTTACTTCAATCCTTCACACCTTATAGATACAATGTCAGCTAGTTACAGAGAAAGTGCAATTACAAGAGCTACATATTTACAGTAAGTCATCATACATTAATGGTAGGTTTTATCGTTAATACATAATAGTTTGGCCAATGGGGATATTACAGAGTCATAGGGGAGCTTCTGTTTATTATTAGTCCTCACAATACACTACTTGTTTCTGAATCTCATATGTCGTTCATCTGCTGGAAGCAAAATGTGGGTACAGTGCAAGGATTTCAGGTAATTTATCCATGGTAATAAGATAGGTTGCCATATCATACAGAGTGAGCTTAGACTTATCTCTAAAAGGCTCAATTTTACAACAATCCAAGATAGAGTGTTCGAGTGTGTGTCCCTGCCTATGTCCACACACTTTACACTTTACTTCATCTAGATCCCTATACAAGCCGAACTGCCAGAGATACTTGTAGCCAAGTCTTATACGAGCTGTGACATCTGTTAGTCTACTGACTTTGTTACTTGCCCCATACACATGTTTTACTTCACACATTTCATTGTGATGAACAATGGACCTACTAGTTCCAGTTTGCACTGTTCTACTTTCTTCAAATCCATCTAAGAGTTCTCGTCTAATGACACTTTTAAGGGACCTATTTGATAACTCAAGATTCCATTCAATACTGTCTTTATTTACTGCAGCCTTAGCAAGGGCGTCAACTTTGTCATGAGTGCTTGTGGCATCAAATCCCAAATGGAATTCAATGTGAATAAATGTCATGTTATGGAATGTGGAATCGGAGAAAATAGACCACACACAACTTACAAATTATGTGGAAAGGAATTACAGAACTCTAATAAAGAAGGAGACCTGGAGGTGGTTTTGGATAGTAAGCTGTCGCCAGAGGCACACATAAAGAACATTGTGAGAGGAGCGTAATGCGTCGCTTTCCAACTTCAGACTTGTTTTTAATTATATGGATGGTGAAATACTGAAGAAACTGTTCACGACGTTTGTGAGACCAAAACTGGAATATGCAGCAGTTGTATGGTGCCCAAATCTCAAGAAGCACATAATAACGAAACTGGAAAAGGTGCAACGGCATGCTACAAAATGGCTTTTGGAACTTTAAAACAAGAGTTATGAGGAGAGACTACAGACATTAAACATGCCAAAACTAGAAGATAAAAAAAGAGGTGATATGATCACCATATACACAATTCTAACAGGAATCGATCAAATTGACAAAGAGGAATTCCAGAAACCAGCAACATCACGAACATAGATTCAAGTTAAGGAAACAGATGCTGAAAAACACTATAAAGTTTTCTTTTACAGAGTGGAAGACGGTTGGAACAAGTTAAGTGAGAAGGTGGTGGAGGCCAAAACCGTCAGTAGTTTCAGTGTTATATGACAAAGAGTACTGGGAAGACGGGACACCACGAGCTTTCACCCCGGGGGTGGGGTGGGGGGCAATGCTTAAACCCTGATGGGCTTCAGTTGTAAGCCTAAGGAATCCTAGAGAGTTCAGGTGAATACCAGGTTGCCTTATTATTGTTATTGTCATCCACACTTCCCTGGAAATAAACATTCCATTCACCTGGACTCTAGGAGACTTCCTCACACCCGTGGGGTCCGTGGTTCGAATCTCCTAGAGCCCAGGTGAATGAAATGTTTATTATTATTATTTATTATTATTATTATTATTATTATTATTATTATTATTATTATTATACACCGAGAATAATCACACTAACGTGAGTGTATCAATAGGACTATCCGTAGGAGCCGTGATGAGGGTTCGAACGTGTCCAGTGGGTTCTGGCAAATTCTTTGAAATTTATTATTATTATTATACAGTAATTTACATTACGTTTTCTCGGTAAGACTACATTAGCTACTTTATTTATTTTATTTTAATCGAAATTTCTATTCGGTATCAGAATTTTTCGTTTTGATTCGAAGCTTTAAATACTCTAGTTTAAGCGACAAAGTATAACTGGTGTTAAACTTGACGATGTGGTTCATAACAGTCTTCTTGTGTTTCGTGCCGTGTCTTGAGTGTCTCACCGCCCTCAACACATCTGGCCATGTCTAAGAGAAAGGCTCGCGGCGTCTTGACAAAGGCTCGCGGCGTCTTGACAAAGGCTCGCGGCGTCTTGACAAAGGCTCGCGGCGTCTTGACAAAGGCTCGCGGCGTCTTGACAAAGGCTCGCGATGGGTGACTTGTCTTGAGAAAGTGTCATTGTATTAGCTTGAAACTAACAACTTGTGTGTAATAATAATAATGTACTCTTCAAGTCACTTGTGTTGTCCCGTCTTGAGTACTGCTCAGTACTCACTTCCCCCTTCAGAGCAGGAGAGATTGCTGAAATAGAGGGAATACAGAGAACATATACGGCAAGCATAGACGAGATAAAACACCTAAATTATTGGGATCGTCTCAAAGCTCTCCAAATGTACTCACTAGAAAGGAGACGAGAGAGATACCAAATAATATACACCTGGAAGATACTAGAGGGCCAGGTCCCAAATCTACACAGTAAAATAACAACATACTGGAGTGAACGATATGGAGAAAAATGCAGAATAGAACCAGTGAAGAGCAGGGGTGCCATAGGCACAATCAGAGAACACTGTATAAACATCAGAGGTCCGCGGTTGTTCAACGTCCTCCCAGCATGCATAAGAAATTTTGCCGGAACAACCGTGGACATCTTCAAGAGGAAACTAGATTTATTCCTCCAAGGAGTGCTGGACCAACCGGGCTGTGGTGGGTATGTGGGCCTGCGGGCCACTCCAAGCAACAGCCTGGTGGACCAAACTCTCACAAGTCAAGCCTGGCCTCGGGCCGGGCTTGGGGAGTAGAAGAACTCCCAGAACCCCATCAAGCAGGTATCAAGCAGGTATACAGTGGTGGCAGTGCAGCAGTGGTGGTGGTGGCAGGAGGCTGACTAACAAGAAGGTATAACCCACCACGTCTGTAAATGCCCTCGGCTGATGGATTACTGTTTTCACGGTTCCCTCCACCCTCACCACCCTCACCATCCTCTCCACCCTCAGCACCCTCACCACCGTGGACCACTACTGCCCCCACCGTCATAGTGGTGAACATGTCCCCTCGGACCAGGACGAGGGGACACAAGGAACGGACCAGGACGAGGGGACACACGGAACGGACCAGGACGAGGGGACACAAGGAACGGACCAGGACGAGGGGACACACGGAACGGACCAGGACGAGGGGACACACGGAACGGACCAGGACGAGGGGACACAAGGAACGGACCAGGACGAGGGGACACACGGAACGGACCAGGACGAGGGGACACAAGGAACGGACCAGAACGAGGGGACACACGGAACGGACCAGGACGAGGGGACACAAGGAACGGACCAGGACGAGGGGA